CCTTAGCGCTGGATCGCGGCCGCCGCCGTCGCCAGCCTTGGGCGGGGCCAACGCCGCGTCTCCAAGGCAACCGGACGCCTGCAGGACGTCGAGCTAGACGCTCGCGCGGGATTGGGTAGAGTGCCCGGCTCTCGCCCTCGCACTTAGCGACACCTGCTTCGCCCCTCTTCAAAGCCGTCGCCACCCGAGCATCGTCTTGTTTATAAACGGTCAGATATGTATATTTTTAAGCAGTCTGGTAAGGCTCAGTGGTTTTCAACTATCAGTCACGCTGAAGTTCTTGTCCTTCACTTCAAAGCTTTTACAAATGGGAAGGGAGCAAAGTCTTGGAAGAAACGGGGAGAAAGGAGAGGGGTGGGGATGAAAAAAATGGAAGAAAAATAATTAAGATGTAGCATGTACATTTACCAACTCCCCACAATAATTATAATCATTATGTACCGCAAATGTATACTAAAAAAAGAAAGAATAAATGTGTTTGAAATGAGGAAAGACTTTTGAGCGGGATTAAGGCAATGTGTCTTATGACACATTTTTTAAAATAAGCATTCACTATATTTTTTATCACAAAAAATGCAAATTCCTAAAACTCATCAGCAAAGATTCTGAGTCGGGGATTCCAGAATGGGATCAGGAGTTGGCACTTTTGGCAGGTCACCTAGGGGAGGCTGGTGCAGTTAGCCCGCAGACTGTAGTGGGAAAATGCTGGTGTAGTTATCCCACCTTGATCTCTAACTTGGAAAGGTCCTCCAGGCTCTGCATTTCTGTTCCTTCTTCTGTAAACCAGATTGGTTACCCTTGGTTATTTTGTATATGAGTTGTGATATCAGAATCTTGCATCCTCCCCACCTCCTATGCAGTAGCTTCTTGGCTACAGGGTAAAATCCAAACCTTTCAGAGAGCAGGACAGGATCTTCCAGTATCTGGCCTGGCCTCCCTTTCCATCTGCATTGCTTGACATCCTTCATCCAGTGAGTAATTCATATTTCTGTATTTTTATGCATGTTGACCTTTCAGTCTTGAAAACCCTTCTCTCTTAGTCTACTTGTTGAACTCCTCCTCAATCTTTAAAACTCAGCACAAGCATCACCTCTATTGAAGCCTTTCCTGATGCTTGCATTTGTTAGGGTGTAAATTAAATTAAGCTGCTGAGACAGAGATTTAAAATAACCATGGGGTTAAGCAAAAGGGAAGTTTATTTCTCACCTAAAGTCCTGTTTCACATAAAGATATTTCAATATCTGACGATTAGTCCCCAAAGGCACCTTAAACATGCGTAAGAATTCTTACATATACAAGGTACCTCGTGGCCTGACCTTGGGCCCCAGAGGTTCACATAAAGGTGCTCCTTCACAAATTTTTCAGAGACCCAGACTCCTAACTGGGGCTGTAGCTAAGGGATTTGCCTTTCTGCTTGGCCTAAGATGGCTCATTCCCATGTCTATTTCCAGCCAGTAATAAAGGAGGATAAAAGGAAGGAGAGGGCTTGCCCATTCCTTTCGAGAACAGACATGAAAGGTGCACGTATCGCTTTTGCTTACATTCCGTTGGCCAGAACTTAGTCACATGACATACCTAATAGCAAAGGATGGTGGAAAATGTGTTGAGTTACCACAAAAGAAGGGAGTTTGTGTTAGCATTCTGTTGCTGTGACAGAATACTGGAAAATAACAAGGGAAGAAAGGTTTTATTTTGGCTCACGGTTTCAGAGGTTTCAGTGCATGGTCAGCTGGTTCCATTGCTGTGGACCTGAGGTGAGGAAGAACATCATATGGAAGGGTAAGGGGGAGCAGAGCTGCTTACCTCATGGCAGCCAAGAAGAATCAAGAAAGGGAAAGAGCCAGAAAGGAAGCAAATAGGGACCAGGCATAGTCCCCAAGGCCATGATCCACTTTTTTCAGTTAGGTGTGCCTCCTATTTTCAGCACCTCAATATAATGCCATATTGTGATCTCATCCACTAAAAAGAAGTTAGAACCCCAATTAGCACAATTATGTCACCTTGGCGAAAGTAGTACAATCAGCAATAGCCTTAGCATCAAATACAACATAGAAAATAACAAGGTGTTGCCATTATTTATTTGCACCTTTAGCTGTATGAACTACTCCTGTGGTTATATAACAAAACCTAAAACTAACCAGAAAACTGTGTATAGTAAATATGCCCTCAACAATACATTTTTACCCTCCAGGGAGAAAATTTAAAACAGGTTGGAGGGGGGTTAGAGAAATAGAAGGAAAGGGATTAGAAACAAGGCTGGAGGACAAAGGAAGATTATGCAAACTTTAGGGAACTGGTGAAGAAGATAGGAGGGAAAAGATAAGGAAGAAATAAAACAAGCAAAATAGAACAACAACAATATCAAAACTGGAAACAATGCTCACACTTATATAAAAACAAGAACAATCAAGAAAAACAAAATAAAACAAAAAAAAGAAAACAATTCCACTTCAAGGAATGTCTCTGATGTCACTGGTAAACAAATTGGACACACACAGCCCAGATCCATGTTCATTAATCCTAACAACCCCCCGTAAATTTATGGGTACTGGATAATCCCAGCAAGCCTGCACCTTTAGTTCTAAAGTTCAGGCTGGTTTTTAACTGTGAGGCTAGAACCTGATTTTTTCAGCCTGTAACACTCTGTTTGTCTCCTGCCAGTTTGAACTTGTCTCCTTGACCTTCTGCCAACTTGAACTCGATTCTGCCTTACCCTGATGGAGCCAGCTCACAGCTACTCTGAGTTCAAACTTAGGCCCTCTTCAGGACTACCTGCTATTGTCCTCTCCTAGGGGAGATCTGAACCTGAATAACTCACTGTCCACTGCTCTGTTCCACTGGTGCATTTCTCCATGGAGGCCTCTGGCGTGACCAGTAGTCACTGTGTGTCTGCAGGTTTGAGCCTTCCCACACGGTGATCAGGGCTCAGGGAGGAAGTGCCACTTGCCACCTCCTTTTTCTTCATTGAAGTCTCTCCTTTTTCTCCCCATGGGCTTCAGTTTTTTATTCAAATCCGTGCTAGGTCCTGGGAACCCATTTCCCTCCTTCTTTTCCTCCTCACATTGCTATATTTTCCAGCATCTGGTCACCAAATTTCAGATAAGCTGTTTATCTGCTATTCACCACTCTGACATCTTCCCAGAAGTCACCCTATCTTTCTACACACATTGTAAAATAGTTTCGTTAGACCTCTGTTGACTTTTGGGGGGGTATTGGGGATTGAACTTGGGTCCTTGCTCTTGTGAGGCAGGTGGTGGAACCACTGAGCTAAATCCCTGGCCCAATTTTTAATTTTTATTATATATGTCTTTATTTCCAGGTGCTAGGAAAATATCACTATCTTTTACAGAAGATTACACATATGGAAGGTGTCTTGAGCTCATGATTTACTTATCACGCATCACATGATGCACAATATAATCTGTAGAAAATGTGAGATGATAGCTATAAACTTGCAAAATACTGTCTTTCAAAATGTGATTTGAGGAGCTTTGTTTTTTTATATAATAGTTTCATGTAAGTGACACTTCACTGTATTGAAACAACATTTAATAAGATAATCTAAATTCCCAAAATAGAACTTAGGGAAATAGTTGTGGGTAAATGAATTCTTGGTTACCATTTATTTTAATCACGTGAATAATTCTGCTTCCCTATCAGGTCTATGGTATTGGAGAAGAAGGCTAAAGGAGAATATATTAAATTTCAGTGTACACTGTAAAAAAAAGTAACTGCCAGAGATTTGGCTCAGTGGTTCTGCCACCTGCCTTGCCAGCACAAGGGCCCGAGTTCTATCCCTGGTACCAAAAAAAACAAAGCAAAGTAACCATAGAGATAAGTGTGACTTCAACTGTTGTGAAGATGAGGTAGGAAGAAAGATCTAGTCTATAAGTCACACTCTGTAATATGATCAGAACATGAAATCAGACATGGTGTAGAAAATTAAAAGTTAGTTGGGGCTTCCTGCCAACAGAACTCAAAAAAGTTATTTTTCTTTTCCCAAAGTATAAAGTTTTTGAAATATGTATAAATTAGCATTCTTTGCACTACATTACTAAGTAGTATATGTTAGCTCCATACATATTCAAAATATATTAGCTCACGTGCCTCAGTTTGATCTGGACATAGAAAACTTCCCAGTACCACTGATACCTGTTATAGAAATGCAAAAAGTATTTAAAATATAATGAAATTTAACTTGTGGTATTTAAACTTTGAGCCTCATACATAATTATTGCAGGGCTGGCTTTCTTTGTGGCACTTTTTTTTCTTATTCATTTTCATTTTACAAAATTTTCTTGCGTTCTTGGCCAGGGATTTAGCTCAGTGGCACCATGCCTGCCTCAAGCTCTAGGTCCTGCGTTCAATCCCCAGTACCAAAAAAAAATTTTTTTTTCCTATGTTCTATTGTGAGACTTAAACTAGAGCCAACTTGAACTCTGGGGCACTAAGGCAGGCCGTGAGGAGCCTGATTTGTGGAATGATCCTCAGGGATTTGTGGGTAAGGGCTCATTAGGGCCTGATGGTCTGACACTGAGCTATTCCATCCCCAGAGGACACAAGGAGAAAGGTGTCCTAGAAGGAGAATATAGGTTCCCAGTTCTCTGGTTTGGATGTAGTTCATCCCCACGAAAACTCATA